GTGGCCCCCCCTTTAGAGGTGAGGTCGTCGTGGCCCCCCATGGCCCTCCCCCTTTAGAGGTTAGGTCTTCATAGTCCCCCTGGGATGGCTACCTCCTTCCCTTCAGGTCTGGTGATGCCCTGTTGTCCTCAGAGCCCAGACCAAGGCCACCATCGGACCATCCTGAAAGTCCCCCCATTTCCTCGTCCTGATTCTGGATATGCTCAGGGCGGCCTGACCACAGGCTGTGCAAGTTCCTTGAGGCGGGGTGCTGCTTTGTTTTACTCATTGTAGGCCAGAGCCAGGCATTTAGGTTAAAATATGACTAGAGCAGGTTAAAAAATGCTTAGTAAATGTGTAGTTGATTGTCCAGAGTTGCACAGAGCAGGAAGTAGCCCAAGTAGGATTTAAACCCAAGCCCTTCGCCTCTAGACCCCAAAATCCTCCCGCTGTGGCCTCTCCTGTTAGGCCTCTAAGAGCCCTGGATCGTTGTCGAGATGCCTGGCTTACCTGACATCTTTTCCATCTCCCTCTGTGTGGCAGGATCAAGCCGAGCAGCTTTTCAAGAGTGGACACACGAACAACTGGGCAGTGCTGGTAAGGACTCCCTGCGGTGGTGGGTGCCGACAGCACAGCTGGCCAAGCCGGTCCCTCCTTTCCGTCCATTCGCAGGCACCCCTGAGTCGCTGTGTCTGTGCCACAGCGGGCCTCCCTCCCCGTCCCTCCCTTGGCAGTGAGGGGTCCATAAACAAACACAGGCTCCTTTTGCAAAGCAGGTTCTGCTTCAGCACGGGTAATCATGGCATCCCGAGGTCTTCCTGTTGTGAGCAGGCCTGTCTTCGTGGGGACACCCCTGTGGCCAGCTTTATTGCCGTTTCCTATTGGAAACCTTGCAGACCCAGATGTCACTGGCTTAGATTAACTCAGTGAAATGGGAGCAGACCTGGATCTGCCCCCATGGGAGCGGCTGTAACGTTTCTGTAACGTCAGCCCTCCCGATTCGGTGTTTGTCACAGTGGGTGTAAAGCAAGCTCAATTGTACTTTGGCTCAGCAGACCCTTCACAGTGCAGATTGGGAGTGTAGAAACTTCACGTTCTCCCTTACGTCATTTAGGATGCCAGCTGTGATGCCGAACAGTTGATAAACTGATTTCTTATCATTTCAGTGTATTTGACCTTCAGTAGAAGTTACATTATGTGTTTGAAGGCAGTCATCTTGTATTTTTTAACATTTTCCATAAACCTTATTTTTTGACAAACTGATTTAGACGGCCCATTTCCAGGTAGGATCAATGAAGTTGTCATGCCTGGTTTCTAGCTCTTAAAGCTTTGTTTGGATAATGCTGTGATGCGAACTTTTGCAGCCATCTGGTGCTAGGGATCCTACAGAGCAGGGGGCAAGCAGGCCCAGTCTGGCTGGCACAGTGTGAGCAGAGGACTCCTACACCTTGCACGTGCTGCTCAGTGCTCGGAGTCCAAGGTCAGTCAGGCAGGATCTCCAGGGAGGCGTGCAAATGGGTCCCATACAGACTTTGGACCGGGTTCACAGCCTTTACCTGAAAAGGAGGCCCCCTCCAACCTGCATGGCGGTCCCTTTGCTTTTGCTTGAGAACCTCAGGATGTGGGGGAGCCAATCCCTGTGAGGTAGCCCCTTCTACTTTGGCAGTAACCTTCATTTCGGTCTTTTCTGCTTTGAGTTCTTCTCCCAGGGTCAGGCAGGGAAGACTTGTTTCTGCTTCTAGGCAGACCCTTTGGGTGCTTCAAGGTAGCTCCCTGGCCTCAGAGGCCAGAGATCAGCAGACCCTTTACCGCAGAAGTTGTCACCTTTTTGGGTTGTGCATCCTTGGGCAGCAGGTGGATGTTTTTAAACGCATTTTTAAAAAAAAAAGCTTACAAAGGAAGCGAATTACATTGAAGTGCAATGATCAAAATATTTGAAAAAGCCAAGTCCTTTTGTCTTGTGCATCCCAGACTCTCCTTCCTGGAGACTTTTCAGTCTGTCAGTGTGGTGCCCAGAGCTGAGCACTGTTCTCCTGCTGTGGTCTGACAGGGACCACAAGGGACTGTGGGATGATTGCCTCCTAGTGCTGGGCAGTAGCGCTTGTCCTCAGATGAGTGTTTGTGGACCCTGTTTCATACAGTTGACTCCTACCGAGTTTGGAGTCTTTTTTCCCCCAGATGAAATGGTAGCCATGCCTCTTCCAATTTGTGTTTGTGAAATTGATTTTTTGGACCAAAGTATGAGACTTCATACTTTGATACTTCATACATTCAACACTACTAAATGTCATCTTATTAAGTTTGTGCCAGTATTCCGGCCTGTCGAGATCCTTTTAGATCCTGACTGTCATCTGATGTGCTGGCTTTCCTTCCTAGCCTTGTGTCCCCCAGCCCCAAGCACAGGGCCTGGCATATAATAGGTGCGTAATAAATGTTTCTTGATTGATTGATTGATCTGAAAAATTGATAATGATAATTTTTAGGAATTAAAATTTAGTTGATCAGTTCCAGTAAGCCTGTTTTGGTTTTCCCCGTTTGCATTCTCAGGACATGAAGTCTCAGAGAAATAAAGTGTTAGAAACTTATTTACTCACTCTTCGGTGTAGACTTGCTTGTGCTTTGTGTTGGGGGCGATAGAAAGTCTACCTGAACCACAGTCCCCTTCCTCAGAGCAGGAACAGGCAGCTATGATTGACAAAGAAATTGGGCAAGGGTGTATTTTGAATAAAACGATTTCTTGTGTAAGTGCGATAACCCGTAATGCTTATTTTCGACCGCTTTCCCTGGAGAATGGATTTCATTGTCTCTTCTTGCAATTTCTTGAGATCAAGTACAGATAGATGCTCTATCTTCTGGCATCTCATCTGTCTCCTGTCACGGAAAAACAAATTAGGGCCCATCTGAATTTCTAAAAATCACATTTTTGCTCTGACTCTTTAGGTCTGTACTTCAAGATTCTGGTTCAATTATCGACATGTGGCCAATACTCTCTCTGTTTATAGAAGTGTCAAGAGACTCGGGATTCCTGACAGGTGAGAACATCTGAAATGAGTCCAAGATTCGTCCTCTGTCTTGTGTCCTTAAAGTGGGTAAAAAACCTGGGCTTGAGTTGGCATTGGGGTGAAAGATGTAAAGAGAAGAGGCACCACGGCTTCACACCGAGGCTGGAGTCAGAAGGAGCTGGGGGGAGACCTCAGGCAGGTCCCTTTCCTTCTGGAAGCCTCCAGCAGCTCCCAAGGTGATCTTCCCAAATGTAGGCCTAATTGGGTCGCCCCCCTGCTCGGTCAATTCCTGTGGCTCCCCATCACCCCCAGGACCAAATGCAGAGTGCTCTGTTTGGCCCCAGAGGCCTTGGGAGCCCTCTCCCTCCTCCTTTTGCAGTCTTCTCACACCTCACTCGCCAGCCCTCCTCTTCGATCGATCTGGGGACGCTGGCCTCTCCACGAGCAAGACCCTCCATTTCTCAGCTCCTGCTGTTTCCTCTGGCTGTCCCCCATTTTAAAACAAATACATATGTATGTTTGCATATCTATGTATGTAAATCTAAATATACACATGTGTTTGTGTGTGTGTGTAGCTTATCTGTACATCTTTGTTTGTATATTGTCCCCAGTTAGACTGGATGCTCCTTAAGGGTGGGGATGTCTTTTGCCAATTTTTGTATCCCCAGTGCTTAGCACCGAGCCTGGCACATAGTAGGTTCTCGGTAAATGTTGATTGACTGTTCAGTTTTCTCCAGGTGTTGAATTTGTGGGTGATCACAGTGAGAATGGTTCCATTTTCAAGTGTAAATCCTTATGGTGAGAAAGGGTTTTATGTGCCATATATATCATTTGGTTCCCATGTTTCCCCATTTTATGGAGGAAAAGGTTGAGGCTCAGCAGAGCTAGGGGGCTCGTTTTGGCTCACAAAACAGGTGAGTGGTGGCTGACCTAAAACATGTCTGATGTTGTACTTACATTTGAGTACGGTGAGGAGAGACTTGTTAGAAGGAAAACAGCAAAATTACTTTTTGCAAATTTTGTCAAGTAGATTTGTCTACATGCTTCTGGAGAATGTTCTTTTTCAATTTTTATTTTCTTTCTGTTTTAAAATTTTTAAAATATTTATTTGTTTTGAACTTAAATACAAAAAGACAAGAAAAAGGAACATTTTCATGTACACAGCACAATGTAAAAAAAGTATTCAATATGAAACCATGAATTTGCATTTCACACTGTTTACTTTTTTTTGAAAAGCTATGTAATACATACTAGACATTGTTTTCTAAGCTTTTCTGTGCTTCTCAGTTTTCTTTTGTTCTCTGCTGTGCGCTTTTTATTTTTTTCTTCTTCCCTTCCCAGCCCACCTTAGAGAAGGCTACCATTACACACACACACACACGTATATATAATATGTGCATATATATATATATATATATGTATATCTGTAAAACCATACTATGCATACTTCTGTTCATCAGTTCTTTCTCTGGAGGTGGACTTGGGAGTTGATTTGAGTACTTGTAATACTCAGAATGACTTAGTGCTTCGCAGTTCTCAGAACAACGTGTGTACAAGGTTCTCTTGGTTCTGCTCACTTCACTTTGCACCGGCCATGCAAGTCTTTCCAGGTTTTTCTGACAGCATCCTGCTCATCATTTCTCACAGCCCCATAATACTCCCTTACGTTCATCTACCACGCCTTGTTCAGCCCCAGTTCAACTCCCCAGTTGATGGGCATCCCCTCGCTTTCCAGCTCTTTGCCACCACAGGGAGAGCTCTAGAAATAGTTTAGAGTGTAACGGTTCTTTTCTGTTTTCCTGATCACACGGGAAACAGACCTCGTAGCGCCACTGCTGGGCTGGAGGGCGTGGGCTCTCTCCCGGACGGCCTCCGGAGCGGCTGGATCCGTTCCCAGCTCCACCAACAGTGCCTTGGGGTCCCCATTTTCCCACATCCCATCCAGCGTTTGTCAGTCTCCCCTTCTGCCACGTTAGCCCATCTGGTGGGTGGCTCTTCAGGAGCCTCTGCCTGCGTCCCTGGGCTGTGAGCTGGTGATTTAAGTCACCAGCTTCTCCTTTTCACACCCGGAGTCAGTGTCTGCGTGTTGGCTCTGCTCGACTTTCAGCTTCTTGCGACAAGTCCTTCTCTGCCTTGTGACTTGTACCCTTGTCTGCCTGCCCCGGGCCGAAAGAAGACCAAAAACCGAGGTCGCAAGAACTTTGTTGGGGAACAGATTAAGTTGTTGATTTAGGGAACGTTGTGAGTCTGAAAACGTTTAAAAGCAAGGCATAGGAAAGACTTTGAGATGAACAGACCGGCTTCCCAAATGTAGCTGAATACCCAGTGGCTAGCTTTTTCACGGCCTCTTTGAGGGTGGTCTAGAGCTTTCTTCCCAATAGCCCTGTAGGTTAGGTGCTAGTGTGGCTACTGTCCCCACTTTACAGTTGGCACAGCTGAGGCTTGAGGAGGTTTGTGGCTTTCTGAGTATGTGGCCTGGGGGCCTTTGATCCAGTCGGCTAAGGAGAGCTGAGATTCGTGGCATGCTTTCAGGCCTGTGAAGCGTTAGATGTCTGTCATTATATCACGTGGTGCTCCACAGCTTTGTATCCTGCCCAAGAGATTCCATGATGGATCCCATGGCCAGTCAGTGCTGCAGGCAGGGTTCGGATACTGATCTCTCCTCCCTCCCTGGAGCCTAGCCCTCTCTCCTTCGTACCATATCATCTCTCAGACTGACCTTGTCATTAGGAATTTGTGGAATGCTGGGGCAGTGGCTGCTTTTGAATTGGAACAGTCCTTTTCATTAGCTTGCTTTAAAATATCAGAACTGTGTTTCTGATATTTGAGGATAAACTTCCAGCGAGTCTGGCTTGTAGCAAAACTGGGGACCTGAGCACTTGGATCTGAAAGGTTGTCTGGGCTCCTGCCCCCATTTTACAGATGAAGAGACTGACACACAGCCCATCTTGTTTCTTCTACTGCAGCATTTTTCCTCCTTTCAAGCCCACGGTAGAGCAAGGTCTGGGATTTTTCCTGGTGGGGAATCCTGGCCCTCCTGGAGGGACGCTCCCCCTCCAGATGGTCTCCTCCCCTGCTGCGGTTTTTGTAAATCCCCCACTGCGTGTGGCTTCTTCCTTTAGGTCCAGAGCTGGTCCCTCTCTCCCTTCTCTGGCTGTACGTGGTGCCTGGCACAGAGTCGGCGCCCCGTGAATGCCGGTGGGCTGATTCTTGGAATACCTGGCAAAGGCCAGGGCTGCTGATTTAGAGGAGGCAGCCTGCGCTGAAACCATTCAGGGACCTCAGTCGTTCTGGGCGATTCATTCGGGTGGTGCACATCTAGAGGCGCTGCCATGGGCCCTGACTCGGCCTCTCTTCCAGGAGCGCTCCTTCTCTTGGGAAAATCACAGAATTAGGAGAGAAGTAATCGTAGGTGCCCAGTGCTGGGTGGGTGAGTGAGGAGCTGAGCCCCCACTGGAAGGAGGGATTCCGAGGGATGCAGGGTGGACTGAGCAGGTGCAGGGGTGGGCTCTAGCCATGCCGAGGCCGTGAGGGGGATGTCCTGGGCCAGTGCGCACGGGTCTGAGGGCAGGGCCGGGAATTGGTGAAGCAGCTGGCCCAAAACAAGTGAAACGACCCAAGCCTCTCTTTAATCTGTAATATCAAGGAGACGAGTGCAGATCTCCAGGCCCCAAGGTCGCTGTAGCCGAAGGTCGCCAGCCAAAAAGGCACATTCCTTTCTTCCTCCAGGCTCACATGGGGTCTGTAATCCCCAAAGGAGGGTCCTGTAGCCTGAGGTTGGGTCACCTTCCTCCAGGGAAACTCTCCCATGATGTAGCTTCCCGCGTCTTCTTTCCCGGGCTCTGTATTATCCCCTTGTGCCTTGAGGCCCAGTTAGCCTGGTTGAGTTCACGCTTGGGGAGAAGGTGAGGCACTCGCCGCAGGGAGGTGATGGGAGAGAGCCCGGAAACGCAGGCGAGAGCCCAATTGGGATTCCATGTTCTGTAGGCGCCCTGCGTGTTCATGCCATCCCCGAGCGCTGGGACTTGTTCTTGGTGTGTGTATCTCCGTAGCCCATTGCTTGGCCCTTTGGAGATCCTTCCTAAATGCTCACTGATTAAGTGGCAAGCAGAGGGGCTTGAACAGTGGAGTTAATGGCAAACAGAGTGAAGTGACTTGCCCAGGGTCACATAGCTAGGAAGTGTCTGAGGCTGGATTTGAATTAAGGTCCTCCCCTCTATCCACTGCGCCACCTGGCTGCTCCTTGCCAACCTTTTGGTATCATGTAAATTCATGCTGTGATGATGATGATGAGAGCATATACATGGGAAGAAAAAGGATGGAGGAAAAACGTCCCCCTCTGTGCACCTACATCGGCTCTGGAAACCCTATCAGTGCCTGTTGATGGGAGGGTTGTGGTCCGTGAATGTCGTGGGGTAGTGTCGTGCTGACTGTGATGAGTTCAGAGGAGCGTCAAGCCCAGGAAGGTCCAATGAAATCAGACACGAGGGCAGCGTCGCGACAAGAAAAGCTCCCGCTGCCACGAAGCGACCAAAGGGAATGTTTGAACCTCCCAGCCCCCGCCTGTGTGCCCACATGCTGGATATCTTATCACTTTTGGATTTGGGGGTTGTATCGACCAATTCTGTAATTACCTCCTCTTCCCGTGTCAAATCCAGCCTCCATCACTTACTCGCTCTGTGACCCTGGGCAAGTCACTTAACTCTATGTGCCTCAGCTTCCTCAGCTGTAAAATGAGCTGGAAAAGGAAATGAGCACTCCGGTATCTCTGCCAGGAAAACCCCGGATGGGGTCATGGAGAGTCGGACACAACTGAATGTCTGGACAAGAGCAACAAAGTCACTTAGCCTGTTTGCGCCAACAGCAACAGTAAAATAAGGATGATGGTAACAGCCACGTCGTGCGATGACGGACTTTGATGGACTTAGCCCCTCCCAGCAGTGCAAGAGGTCTCATGATGGCAAATGCCACTGCCAGAGAAAGAACTGTGGAATCTGAATGCAGATTGAAGCAGACTGTTCGCTCTTTTT